TGTTCTGGATTTGCCATGCTTCTCCAAGCTTTTCAGTTTGTTGTGATCCACACCGTCTAATGCCTTTGTAGAATCAAAGAAACACAGTAAACTGCTTTCTGGTATTCTCTGCTTTCAGCCAAGATTCATCTGACACCTGCAAGGGTGGTTCTTTTTTGCATTCTTTTCTGAATTCAGCCTGAACCTCTGGGAATTCCCTGTCAAACCATTGTTGGGTGATCTTCAGTAAAATTTCATTTGCATGTGATATCAATGATATTGTTCAATAATTTGAGCATTCTATTGGGTCCTCTTTCTTTGCAGTGGCACACACATGGATCTCTTCACGTCAGCTTGCCAAATAACTATCTTCTAAAGTTCTTGGCATAGATAAGAGCCAGAGCTTCCTCAGCTTATTGAACCATTTCAATGAGTATTCCATCCATTCCTGAAGCCTTGTTATTGGCTAATGCACTCAGTGCAGCTTAGACGTCTTTCTTCGGTACCATTGGTTGGTGTTCATATGCTACCTCTTGAAATGGCTGAATGCGCATTAGGTTTTTTTGATACAGTGACTCTGGATTGTTTCCATCTTCTTTTGATGCATCCTGCATTATCCAATACTTTGCCCATAGAATCTTTCAATATTTAAATTCCAGGCTTTAATTTTTTCCTGAGTTTTTTTCAGTTTAAGACATGCTAAGCGTGTTCTTCTTTTTTTATTTTCTAACTCTAGTTCTTTGCAAATTTCATTACAATATTTTACTTTGTCTTCTCAAGCTGCCGTTTGAAATTTTCTATTCAGCTCGTTGACTTCATCATTGCTTCCATTTGACTTAGCTGCTCTTTGATCAGAAGGAAGTTTGATATCCTCTGACATCCACCTTGATCGGTTCTTGCTTTCCTATCTTTTAAATGACCGTTTGCTCTCTTCATGTAGGATGTTCTTGATGTCATCCTACACCTCACCAGTCTTCTGTCATTAGTGCTCATTTCATCAAACTTATTCTTGAAATTAAGGTGGGATATTCTCACGGTCATATTTCGGCTTTTGTGGACTTGTTTTAATTATCTTTAACTCCAATTTGAAATTACATAAGAGAAATCGATGGTCTGGTCCCCAGTCAGCTTCTGGGCTGGTTTTAGTTGCTGATACTAAGATTCTCCATCATGTCTTTCCACAGATGTGGTCAATTTGATTTTTGTGTATTCCATCTGGAAAAATCCATATGTATACTTGCCACGTATGTTATTGACAAAAGCTGTTTGTGATGAAGTTACTGATTTAGCGAATTTCTATCATGTGATCTCCAGCTTCATTTCTATCACAAGACCATATATTCCAGCGACTCTTCTTCCCCTTTGTGTCCAACTGTTGCCTTCCCATCACCAGTAATTATCAATGCATCTTGATTCCATGTTTGATCCCTTTCAGACTGAGGACTTTGGCAGAATTCTTCGATTCTGCATCACTCACTTCAGCAGTTGGAGAACAAATTTGGATCGTAATTGTTTTGACCGAATTTCCTTATATGGGGATGGACATCCTCTCACGGACAACACTGCACTTCAAGACAAATCCTGAAATGTCCTCTTTGACTATGAGCATAATGCCATTCCTCCTGATTGTGTCATTAGTGGCATAATAAACCATATGGTTTTCTGATTCAAAATGGCCAATACCAGTCCATTTCAGCTCAGTAATGTCTAGAATGTCAACTATTATATCTTCCATTTTTAATGACTTCCAATTTTCCTAGATTCATATTTCACACCTTCTAAGTTCTGATTAAAGTTTTTTTGAAGCTGTTTCTTCTCATTTTGAAATGCCCCATCAGCAAATAAGGCTTCAAAAGCCTTCCTCCCACAGGCTTGATGCCCTTCTCTTCGTTATGGTCGACTCTGTTTTGAGAAGGTAGCTCTTCCTCAGTCATATTCTGAGTGTCGCCTGACCTGGAGGGCTCATCTTTAGTAAGACCACAACCTTTATATTGGGCCAAGTCTCCCTGAAGAGGTGACTGAATGTCCTGTCTTGGCTAAGGTCTCGGGGAACCCCAGTGATTTGAACCATTCCGGATGGAAAAGGCACACAAATGGCTTCTGGCACAAGGCAGTGAGTCAGGACCCACACGGAGGTCTTTCCATACTAAACTCCATGTTCGAAGTACACAGAAGCATTTTATTAGCCTGATCATGCAATGTCCGCTTTATTAGTGCAAATCTCAGCTATTTCATAAAACCCCATTTAAATGTAAAGTAATGCCTTGGGCTATGATCCAAAAGGTTGACAGTTTGAAACCACCAGCCAGGTCCATTGTAGACTGAAGGGGCTTTCTTCTACTGTAAACAGTTACAGTCTCGGAAACTCATAGAGGCAGTTCTAACTGGCTTACAGCATTGACTCGATGGAATTGAGAGCTTATTCTTAGAAATGCTACTGGTAATCCGAGGGGGGTATCACAAATTGTGAAGCATTTGTCTTCGAATGGAAAGGTAGGTGATTGGAACCCGACAAGTGGCCCCTTGGGAGAAATGCCTAATAATTTGCTTCCAAAAGGTCACAACCCTGAAAAAAAATTGTACTGACCCAGGAGTCAGCATGGACTGAATGGAAAAGATTTTTATTTTATGTTTATTTAGTGCTGTGGGTTACTAAAAGAAGGTTGCGTGTGTAGAGGGACTTTTTGACAGTGGACACAAGAATAAGATAACCAGGTATGGCATCTATACCCCAAGCTGGAATTTCACAGCCACTGAGTGGATGCCAACTCATAGCAACACATAGGACATTGTTGAATTGCCCGGTGAGTTCCCAAGACTGTTGTTCTTCGTAGGCGTGAAAAGCCATCTTTCTCCCTCAGAGCTACTGGTGCGTTGAATGGCTGATCATGAGGATTGAAGCACAGCGTGTAACCACTACACCACCAGGGCTCCCCTAAACTGCAACTGTGCTGACAAAGGTGATGCCTGAGGCACCCTGTGGCCCAGGGGAGGTGAGTCACATCAGATCCTGCTGCCCTGCCCCAGTGGGATGCACCTTCGATGTCCATGCTAGAAGGGCTTGATGGTGATTTTGTTAAAGAAACACAAACATTTGGAAAGACCAGGAAAAGGAAACTAACTTCTGAGGGCAACGAAAGTGCAGACGTGAATACGGACCAAGTTTGGAGAGTTCCAACTCTTGCTGCTTGTCTGCTTTACAGAGGGAGGCACTCTATCAAACATATATGAAAACTACGGTTTGGGGCAAGCAAACAAGAGAAGATCAAAGTCAAATTTCTTTTTAAGTTTGTAAAACAAAACAAAAGGCTATTCTAATGTAATCATTAATTTCTTAAAAGAGACAAAGCAAAAGTACAATAAATGTCCCATATCTCTTTCTAAATGTTAAAAGACACTTTACTTTAGCCTTAGAGTAGAGAGCATAATAGGTATCTATTTCCTCATCTGAGATTTTTCATTCCTCTAAAGGTGAAGTAGACAAAGTTTCGGTTCTGTTCCAAGTTGCTACAAAACAAATCACAGTAGTACATGCCCAGCTAGCATTCTTTCATTTTCTCTGACTGAGTTTATACTTATTTTGTCTTGTGGTATTCCATACTTCCCTCTAATCCATGTTTAAGCTGTTTTCAGGAAAAAGTCGGGTCTAAGCACATATGTAAATATATTTATATATGAGGATGGGGAAATAGATCTATGTGCGTGTATTTATAGATTTAGTATTAAGGTAGCAGATCGACGTTGGGCCTCCACTCAAGTACTCGTTCAACGTAAGAATTCTTTGTTCTATTAAATTGGCATTCCATGATGCTCACCTTCCCTTCCTGACACAATCGCTGAAGACAAAGCAGGTGCGTAAGCAAATGTGGTGAAGAAAGCTGGTGGTGCCCGACTATCAAAAGATACAGTGTCTGGGGTCTTAAAGGCTTGAAGGCAACCAAGTGACCATATAGTTCAGAAGCAACAAAGCCCACATGGAAGAAGCACACTAGCCTGTGTGATCACCAGGTGTTGAAGGGATCAGGTATCAGACATCAAAGAACAAAAAATAATATCATTCTGTGCTCACCTTCCCCATATGAACACTGAAGACAAATGTGTGCATAAGCAAGTATAGTGAGGAAGGATGATGGTGCCTGGCTATCGAGAGATTTAGTGCCTGGGGTCTCAAAGGCTTGAAGGTAAACAAGCGGCCATATAGCCCAGAAGCAACAAAGCCCACATGAAAGAAGCACACCAGCCTGTGTGATCACGAGGTGTTGAAGGGATCAGATATCAGGCATCAAAGAACAAAAAATCATATTGTGAATGAAGGGGAGTGCAGATTGGGGACCCAGGCTCATTTGTAGGCAACTGGACATCCCTTTGCAGAGGGGGCTTGGGGAGGAGATGAGCCAGTCAGGGTACAGTGTAGCAACGATGAAATACACAACTTTCCTCTAGTTCTTAAATGCTTCCTCCCCTGCCCCCACTATCATGATCCTAATTCTACCTTACAAGACAGGTTAGACCAGACGATGTACACTGGTATAGATAGGAACTGGAAACACAGGGAATCCAGGAGAGATGATCCCTTCAGGACCAGTGCTGAGAGTGGTGATACCGAGAGGCAGGAGGGAAGGTGGGATAGAAAGGGGGAACCGATTACAAGGATCTATATATAACCTCCTCCCTGGGGAATGGACAACAGAAAAGTGGGTGAAGGGCGACGTTTGACAGTGTAAGATATGATAAAATAATAATAATTTATAAATTATCAAGGGTTCATGAGTGAGGGGAAGTGGGGAAGGAGGGGGAAAAATGAAGAGCTGATATCAAGGGCTCAAGTAGAAAGCAAATGTTTTGAGAATGATGAGGGCAACAAATGTACAAATGTGCTTGACACAATCGATATATATATGGATTGTGCTAAGAGTTGTATGAGGCCCCAATAACATGATTAAAACAAAAGTGATTTTTTTCTCTCTCAAGATTTTGTCTCTCTTAAATATCCTTTTCTCTCTGGTAATGATTACTCTTACCTTAGGTTGTTTACAAAGGTAGCGACAAAGTTCTCCAATGTACTGAAACGCAGTCACATTATACTTCTTGCAGTCAACCCAAAACTGGCTGGCTGAGAACTTCTTCTTTAACACACAAGTGGCACCTATAAGAAAAAGAAACATAGACACTGGGAAAAAAATCACAGGCAAACATGATACGCAGGAAAGAACAGCAAAGGACTGACCAGTTAGCCCACAGAATTACAAGAAAAGACTTCCCATATTTGTAAATCACTAAACAATATAAAACTAACACTGTGATTTGTAATTTAATTTGATGAACACGTATTCTTTAAATGGAATAAACCTCTCATTTATTTCCTTTGGGACCAATATAGTGACCCTCCTTGCTAAATGTACTTGCCTTTAATCCAACAAATAACTATTTTAATTTCCATTGTGTCTTAAAGGCACATCATTCTTCTAACACTTCTAAGACAATTTCTAAGACTGATTATTAGAATGAATTAAAAAGGGATCAGGTATCAGGCATCATTAGAACAAAAAATCTTACCATAGTGAATGAGGGGGGCAGTGCAGAGTGGAGACCCAAAGCCTATTTGTAGGCCACTAGACATCCCCTTACAGAAGGGTCTCGGGGAGGAGACAAGCCAGTCAGGGTGCAATGTAGCAATGATGAAAAATACAACTTTCCTCTAGTTCCTAAATGCTTCCTCCCCCACCCCACTATCATGATCCGAATTCTACCTTGCAA